TCGTATTTAATTCTAATATTATATTTGTTATAACAAATCATGATAAATTATTATTAACATATATTGAAATGAGTGCTCTATAGCGTAGCGGGCTAACGCGCGCTACCTCGTGTGGACGGGGTTGCTAATTTAAGACCCCCCTATCGCAATGTCTATTTTTACTACTGATAAAAAATTTGTTTCTAATTGAAAATAAACACATTTCTGTCGCTGCGGTGTAAAATGGCAATGGGAAATCTCTCACACTATTTTCCCTGAATCAAGTTAGAGTTTAACTCACCAGCTCACGGACCTGCCCTAGAGCAGTACCACCCATTATTTATTTATTTATTGAAATACAATTTTTATTTAGAAATGTAAGTTTGGGTTAGCATTTGATGGAAAACTTGCTATGGTATACCAATGTTAGCTGCGCGGCCGGAAATGCACTTTTCGATTTCGAATTACTTGCTAAATTTTGAAGTCGCAGGAGAGCTTTTTTGGTGGTCCTTTCGCAAACATTTTTCAGCAGCACACAAGTTTTTCCCAAATAAACTAAATCTGTGAAATTTTGTATATAATCTGTTATCATGTACAATAATTCTACGGGCATATCGAGAAAATTTGTAGCGCCCATTGTAGTATTATGCAGACAAAACAACTAAAAATTTAGGGCTTTCGCCGCGATCTTAAGAACGCGACATAATTATATTCACGTCACATTTTTGACGTTTTTCTATCTTATTAAAATTGGCATTGTATCATATGCCTACGTGATTAGAAAATTAGCGAACTTTTGTTTTACTATTAATAATTTTTATTATGGTTAATTTATTTTGGTGAAACATATATCACTCAAGCTAATTGAATTCTGACTATTTGTGACACTTACATAAGAAATATTAATGTACACGACATAATTTGTATTGCTGTCATCAAAAGTAAAACATTACTTGGAAAATAAACATGACTTGCTTTATGGAAAATGTTGAATGCATATGTTTTTAATTAAAATCTTTCTCGTCGCAACTAATATAATATGCAAAAATACACAATGGTGCAAAAATATGTTGGTAATTAATTCGTTATCATCATGTGTGAAAGTCTATCGACCTAAAAAGAATATAAATAAATATAAGTTGTATTTGATAATGTTTACTTCCATTGAGTGTTTGCTAACCATGTTGCACAATGCGCAAGAACGAAAATAAATCCGGTCCGCGGGATCGTGTAGGCAGTTTTTTTCTTATTAGAATTCCATGTTTTTAAATATTTTTGTGTTTTCATTTCTTATGCTACTTCTGTATGGCACATTGCTATGTTTTGTCATAGTTTTTTTTTGGTTAATGTTACTACGGCACGTCTTTTATGTCGGAGGCGGAGTTAATGATTAATGTCGCGCCATCTTGATAATTGGCCGTGAGATGAGGAAAATCGGCTTCTTTTTGATTCAGTGTTTTTGTTTTTATTCAGGCCTCACGCAGCAACCGTATCGTAACACTTATATCCAGCATGAATATTTAAAGATGCAAAAATCCTAATTAACTTTGAATGAATTAAAATGTGTTTATATTTAGTTTTTATGATAAGGCGCTTTATTTGATCAATTGATTTTGGTACTATTTATATTCAATTCATTATATTATATAATATATAAGGTCAATTACACAGAGTAATTGAAAGCATCCACCTAATCCAATGTCTAATCCAAATAGTGGATTTTTAAGCGTCAATACTTTCGGGAAGATTTCATTTGCTAACGTAGTATGAATATAACACTAGATTTGCAGATGTTAAATATAAACCTGTCTTTACTGAAGTGACTCAATTTGAAGAAAATAGAAGTTAATTTGGAATTGAAGAAAGTTTAAATGAAATGTTTTATAAATAACATTTTCTACCATTTGGTCAAGAACATCAACGCCATATACATATTGGTTATATATATATATATATATATATATATATATATATATATATATATACGAGGTGTGTTCAAAAAGTACCCGGAATTACTAATAATTAAATTTCGCGGGTCTGGAGTGTCTGATTGTCAAAAATTTTTTTTTATTGTGTTGGTATACATGCCCCTAAAGTATGATGAAATTTTCAGCTATATTCACTGTTTACTTTGTCTGTGGTAGTCGCTAAGGTTCGACGTGTTTTTCTGAGCTCGGCGATTTTTACAATGGAAGAATTGAAAAGTCAAAGAATTTGTATTAAATTTTGCGTAAAAAATGAAATAAAGTGTTGCAAAGTGCAAAAATTCACCAGATATGGCTCCGTGTGACTTTTTCCTATTCCCAAAGTTGAAGAGACCCATGAAAGGACGGCGGTTTTCCTCGATTGAAGAAAATCGCTGAGAGTGCTCAAGGACATATCAAAAAGTGAATATCAAGGGTGCTTCGAAAATTGGAAAAAACGCTGGCATAAGTGTATTATATCTGGGGGGGACTACTTTGAAGGGGACCACATTAATGTAGACGAATAAATAAATATTTTTTTGAAAAAACGAAAATTCCGGGTACTTTTTGAACAGACCTCGTATATTGGTGCTATTACAATAAGTTAGAAGTATGGAACAAGTTTTTAATTTTTTCAATACTTATATTTTTATGTTTTGTATTTACTTGTTTTGTACTTTTGTTTTTGTACTTTATCAGAAATTCTTTTATAAATGGTCAGGGTAGAATTCTCTTTTCAGATTGTTGAGGTGATTTTTTTCGATTTGGAGTATGGTGCCAACAAAAGTAGTTTTGTTTATAAGTAACGTTTTTGCAAGTAAAATAATCGTAATGGAACTTATTAATGAAAAACAAACTCTTTTTAAGAGTTAAAAACTGTATTAAAATCTGATTATTCATAAAAGTTGGCATGTCGTGACAATCCTCGGATTTCATCTTTTCCCAAGACCGAAAAACCGTTTACCGTTTGTAACAAACTTGACTATTCTCTATAAATTTTTCCCATATTTTTTAAATCCATGCAAATTCCGTATTAGATATAATTTCGATTCCTATAAATACTTTTCAATATAAATTACATAATTACCTTTGCGGATCAGTTTTTCTGGCAAAAACTGTTAAACCATTCTTTGAGTCAAATTGGCTCACGCCGTGAAAATAAGTATACCACGATCGAAAATTCGAAATAAAGGGGTTTGCGAGGTATTGAATAGAACGTTTACATGTACTTCATTACTCCACTAAAATCCAATGTATGTTGTAAAAAGTAATATTGAATTATATTAATATATAAAAGTATGAAAATATATTTAAGATTTATATGTGTACATTCATCAAAATTTTATTGTGTCAAATGGGCTTAATAATTTCGGAACTCTAAAAGTGTTAAATACAGAGGGCCGGCCATAGATTCAGCAATTATTCGAAATTATTTTATTACTATTATTTAGTTATTTCTCTATATTTTAGAAGTGTTGTTCAATATAGGTATTGAGATAATAATTTTGATTGAAATTTTTAATTATAAAAGGACTACGTACATATTACAATTAATTTATTATGTGATTTGAGAAAAATACCATCGGTTCAGAAATTACACATTTAGAACTTGCACATTTGCCCAAACATAAAATACTTATGGTATCCGAAACAGCAACCAAAACAAATTGATTATACATTCTTCGAATGGAATCATTGACTTTTTAGTCAGGATGTATATCATTTATTTATCGGCAATGTACTTTCTCGAATATATTTATTGCTTATTTTATAAATTATCTGTCATTTAATAACTTCCCGAAGGGTAAGTTAAGTAATCTCAACAAATCGAAAATGAAAATTTTCAGTAAAGTCGAATTATTTCAAAATTTTCTTTAAAAATAAAAAAAATCCAAATTTTCAAAAAAGCTATTTTCAAAATTTAAAAAAAAAATAATTAGCGTACGGTACGGTACGAAAAGTTCCAAAAATTTATCTTAAAACATCATGTCATGCACCATTATTTATATTATAATTACTCACAAATCAGCCTATTATAAAATAATAAGACCAATAATATATCATCGATCATATAACGATTATATTAATTTGAGTTTATCCTAAAAATAGGGCTTTATTTAAAAAATATTTATGCTATATAGCATACACATAGTATGTGCTAATATTATACGTTTGAAATAGAGTATGCTAAGAATCTGATAAATTATTATGTTTTTGTTATTAAAGACTTCCACATTTTCAATTAATATATTCATTTGAACTTATAGTCTTAATACATTGCATTTTAAAGATTTACATTATATTTCTTTTAGTATGTGATATTCGTCTTGACTTCCTGTGGTCCTACACTCGTGTTTTGATTGCAAATGACTAGAGTCGTCACGTACTTGTTGGAAATATCATTGAAGACCATAATACTCCATTGTCTAAATAAAATCATTTACCAGCATTCATTTAATTCATTGACTTAAGTGAAATAAAATAGTATTTGGCATACTTATGTTGTCAAATAACAGTAACAGTTATAAAATAATGCAAAATATGTTAATTAAATTTTGGTTTTATCAGCGACAATCATCGGATGTTTTATAATTGCCCGTATAAAGCAGATGGTATGCCAATATGTGGATCCTGTTTATATTTATATTTTCGCATTTGTTATAACTATTATTGTAAACAGAGGATTTCAATTCTGGAAATATCTTTATGATTAATTATGGCATTGAGATAATTTGCAAACATTTTTAAGGTAGGCGTTTTAATGTGATCATGCGTCTTGCCAACGCTGTCATGATATGCTATTATTATTGAAATGAATTTACATACCGAATGCTAAATATATTTATCAATAAATAATTTGTCCGGCAGTCATAAAACGTACATCGAGTTGTGGGCATCGAGAATTTTTACATTTTTTAAAATATGGACTATTTTATATTGACGTGAGTGAGTTAATAGAGTGATAATAAATAACATTTGTAAGATTAGCAATATTTTTTGTGTTATGTGTTTTGTGCTTTAACAATGATTTATGACATTTTGTCATTGATATTCCAGCGCTGAAAGTGAAGCTATTGATGCGGAGGCCAATCAACCAATTAGTGGCTCAGGGGATAATGCCTCGTAAGTCAATATTTTTATTATATATATATATATATATATATATATATATATTTACTATGTAAATAATAGTACACTACAGTCTTTTAATTACACTAACTTCATTAACACTGTTCAAATTGACCGTTTGTAAACTTTTTGTAAAACAATATATCTTAAAAGTGCTATAATACTGTTATGAGACTATATGATAATTATCCGAATGCGCATATATTATTTTCTTCCCACTTCACTACTAGTGATTTTTTCTTTTTTCTCAAAAAAAAGTTGATCTATTGCTACCCTATCAATAAGACCGCGGTAGGAATAGCTATCGATAGTTTTAGTCTAAAGTTATAAGTAACTGACGTTTCTTGATTTTTCATAGAGAAAAATATAACGAACAATATTGATACATTTTATAAATAAATAGTAACTTGAAAGTATGTTTAATTGTTAATTGCTAAGAACTAATTATACCAAACTTGAGAAAGGTAAATATAGAACTTTCGCTCTAACTTTTTAAGTTTTTTTTATAAGTTATTCGCATTTCGAGGCAGTCATCAAGTAGTACTAGTAGATGAGACTAGGTACGGCTGTGCCAGGATACAGTAGTGATAGTCGTTATAAAAGCTAACTGAATGCTGATTTTGAGAATGGGTTCAAAGCGAGAAAGACGAAGTATTTTTGTTGGAACAAGTTTACATTATTGCAATGAGTCAGTTCCTTACATTAACACGATCTGTAGTTTTTGAAAGTCAAAAGTAAGTTTTTATGATCGATTTCTTATATTTTGAACATTATTTATCAATTAGCAGCAATTAGATTTGTTTCATGTGACATGTATAGTGAACAAAAATAAAACAGTTAAAGAAAAATACAACTTAACTAAAGCAAAATACGAAAGAGAAAGAGAAGCGAAAATTTCGTACAAAAAAAACAAGATATTTTACAAAGATTTATTGTTTAAAAAAATATATTTATTGTATTGTTATATTATATTTATAAGCTTTGTTTAAATGATTATGTTGTATTGTGCTACATATTTCTAACCTTAAATGTCGCTATAAACCATTTCGATGTTTATAGCTGTTGTTTTTGAATCTATTATTTTTTTACCTGTCACAACCGTTCTGGAGCTGTGTGCGGTTGGGCCACTCGCCCTTTTATTGTGTGGTTGATTTTATGACTAATCCATCGTATTCAAAGACTGTATTTCTGTATTTCTACTTAGACAAATGTTCAATTTACCAATTAATTTACTTTTCTCCCGGCTAACTGGTAAATTAACAATGTTATGGATGATCAAGAGAAAGTGCCCCTCTTACTATTAAAAACCTTTGCAACAAAAGTTTTTCTTGCTTCAATAAAGTTAGCTGCAAAAAGGGAGAGTGGTGTGTTTTCTTATACATAGCCTAAATAATTCTTTATATAAAAATAAATATAAATATTTGATATACTCCTCAATTGGCTTATTCTCAAATAAGCTTTTTCACAAACCACACCTGCTATAATTTCATTCTTTGTTAAATATAAAGTTTAGGAAATGTTAAAAAAATCAAGTTGATTAAATATACCCTTACGAGACTGCTGAACCCATTTACACAACTTTCTTGTTCTTGCTCTCTTATACTTCAGTAAATTTATAGTGATATAACAGAGTAGTAAGCTAATTCGAGAATTGGTGTGACTGTGGTATATTACATTGTGAAATTGTATTTATCAAAATACTTCCGGTTCTTAGAAAATATATATCAAGCACATAATTAGAAAATTATTGAATTATAAATTACTTACTTGATTAGTAGTTGCACGTAAAGTAAGAATTTGAAATGAGTAATGCTAAGAATTATATTTTATACGCTTACATCTTTATTTATAAAAGAACTGTGCTAGTATCTGGCTTCTTTTCGTTGTTCATACGGTCTCTGTCAGTTTTAAATGCGACGAAAACAGATATTTTTCAGTCAAGGCCGATGGCAAATAAAAACGTAAAGCATAATAGTTTTTTGAAGAAAAACTAAACACGAAAATCTATTAAAAAGAATTCTTATACATATCGCATCTTGAAGCAGACGTAAATCTAGGAAAGCTATAACATTTTACTTAGATTTTATTAGAAAAAAATGGAAACAGCATATTTGTTTATGACAACTGATTATATTTTCTTTTTTTGTTAACAAACATAATTAATTTAACATATGTTTCAAATTAAGATTTTTTTGTCTAGACTTTTAAAGATAGTTGCCAACCTACTTGCGAATACTTGTTGACACTAGACATGCGAAATTGTCATTTATTTTTACAATGTTAAAAAAATCATTTATATGTGCATCATGTCGAAAATACGAATCATTAATCTTCTCTAATAATGGAAAATCGCAATCTTACGAAATATACTTTTACATTCATTAAGACTTCTGTATCACTCATAAATAGTGTAAAACTGATTCGTAAGTTATCATGATAATTAATATACTTAAGCGTTTAATATTTTATTTGTATATAATCTTTTGTGCAAAATAATCTCAAAAATTTAGTATTTATTTAAATATAAGATTTCAACTAATATAACTAATGATAGAATTTTTAAAATTTTCTGATGAATTTTATCTAACTATATTGACCTATTTTTGATAAGATATCTGATGTATGATATTTTCTATTACAATTGTCTTATGCATACCCTGTCCACTATGTACTAAAGATCCTTTCTCGTAAAATGTTTTTCTCCATTTAATTATTTAAGAACTGAATCGACCTTGAACCATCACCAGAACTTATATCGCGGTTTATTGTATACGTTACGCAATAAACACGTTGCCTGATGTACGCCTGATTCAGCCTAGTAAACTGTCGGGAGATGTACCATACATTGGGATCTGTCAAGAGCAACTCTAAAGTTATATCGTTCCGTGTTTTTGGCTGTTCGTTTTATGCGGCAAAGCTGATGCATAGCATCATTGCCAAACAATTCTTATATAATTATTATTTTGTCATCATTTATATCTATAGTTAATAATAGTTTCCGCCACCATGTGGTAACATCAGACTTACTCATTCGCTAGCCATTGAATGAATTCGTTACACGTGCTTGCATTTATCTTTATTTACCAACAATTTATAAACTAATTAATTGGGCACTAATTACGCATCTTTCATTATAAATGCATAATTACACAAAAAAAAAATAATTTAACAATCGTATGGAAAGGCTCTTAAGATTCAAACAAAGGTCTAATGCACTGTCATTTATTCAATTTCTTGTTTCCTACATATAATAATAAATAATTTTCTTTGCTAATTATATTATTTTTCTATCTGCGATATAAAAGCTACTATTTGCAAGTATTCTGAAAAGGATTTAATAAGTTTATCATTATTTCATTTTGATCTATAAATAACAATACACGATTACTTAGATTGAGCAAAACATTCGTATGTTGATTCGTAGAATAAACAGTACAATACATTGCATGTGTTTCTTTTGAAATAGCACATTTGGCGCATGTGTGATTAATGAGTTGGAGCATTGTTATTTTAGCTTACAATTCAGAAATCCATTAATCCATCGCCATTTACTGTAAAATTAATGCAAATGATTTCAAATTAAAATTACTATAAATTATTTTCTGTTTGTATTATTATTAATAATTGTTATAAGAAAAATTATATCCCTGGAAATAATTCTAATTATTGCTGTTTCAGCGCTTAAGACACCGCCGGCTTTCCATGAACAACGCAAGCAACTAGAACGTGCAAAAACAGGAGATCTATTGAAGGCAAAAATTCAACAACGACCAGATCGCCAAGAGTTAGAACGACGACATATATTAGAACAACAAGAAGGTCACGTGGATCCTAGTCTCGCTGAACGTCAGCGCATGTTAAAGAAAGCAAGGCTGGCTGACCAGCTTAATGATCAGTTGTCACATCGTCCAGGTCCATTAGAGTTAATTAAAAAGAATATATTACATACTGATGAACCAATAGAGCGCGCCGTTAAAGAAGGACTGGTTCCTTTTCGCGCCACATGTGAAGGACAATTAAATAGGCCGCAGCATCCAAGCAGTTATGTCACATACGAAGATGATTCTCAGAGTTCAGAAGGCGGTGTTGATACGAGAAGTACACCGCCGCGTTCTACGGAATCTAAGCCTATAGTCCATGTGACTAAGGCAGCCACTCCAGCGCCTTTACCAACTGCAAGTTTCACATTTGCTGAATTGTGTCAAAGTGTTGTTTGTGGAAATACCACAACTCCCACATTTCTTCCGTTAGCCGCAAGTCCCGCATCAAGTTTGAGTCCTTTGTCATCAATTTCATCGCCTCCGTCGACTCATTCCACTGCTTCTGTCACACCTAGGCCTACAGCACCATCACCATTGCAGCCAGCTCAATTGAAAACCGATGCTCCAGGCAAAGATAAAAATAGAAAAAAAAGTAAAAGTAGCAAATCTTTACCAAAAGCCAGAACTATTAAATTTCATGAATACAAAGGACCGCCAAGCGCTCAGAAAAACACTGCTTTAGGAGCAGCGGCGGCAGCTGGGGAAACTTCTTATGAGTTATTACTACAACAACAACAATTATTCTTACAATGGCAATTGGAATGGCAGCATAAGTATCCACAAATTATATTGCCTGCCAACCAAAAGCCTATTACTATTAACTCAAGCGAGCCTGTAACAATAGCAAGTCCTCAAAATGTAACTGTCGCTGTATCCTCTCCATCTTCTTCATCTCCTCCTACGATTAACAATGGAAATAATTCAGATATATTTATGAAACCTCTTGGTAAATTAGAAGATATGAAAGTATCTGATTTGAAAATTGAACTCAAGAAAAGAAATCTTCCTGTATCCGGTTCGAAACCACAGCTGATCGAAAGGCTAAAACCTCATATTATGATATCGGAGTCCGATTCTGGAAGTGTAGATACCCCAGCACCACCTAGTGTATCAAGCGAAGAATCTCTACATGGAGATTTTAGCGAAGAAGTTGGAGTCAATTCGCCTCGCAACTCATTATCACCTGCATCGGATCACGAAGCAATGGATTTACAAGCTGATTCACCTGGATCAATGTGCGGGAGACAAACTCCGGCACCTGATGAAATAGTGAAAGAGCAACAGAGAAAAATTGAGGAGTTGAAGCGAGAACTTCATAAATCGCAATTGCAGGTACAGCAAATGCGACAAGCTCCTACTAATAGTTCTCAAGAACCTAAAAATCAAAAATTAGCATTACAACAGCATTTACATAATAAAATGAAATCCCAAAAAATATCGATGCATCTCCAGCAATTGCAAAATTTGCAAGCACAGCAAACAAAGCAACATCAAGAAAATCAGCAAAAGCAACAGAAGGAGCACGTAGCATTTCAACAAGGTTTAAGTGCAAAAAATCAAGCAAATTTGTTAATGGTTCAAAAGCCTATTCAGATCAATGGATTTAATATTGGAACTATAATGGCCACACCAAAAACTGACAATTCAACAACGATAGTGAATGGTTTACAAACAGTAAAAGGCAAAAAAAATCTTGGAATAGTTTTGAACAAACAACAAGCTGTCTTAGTACTGAACAAGTTAGCCAAAGGAAAATTGATGAATGAACATCACAGAACTGCATCATTGCCAACAATTTTAGTACCAGCAAATTTATTGACATCAGAACAAACAAATGTAATATCATCTCCACAAAATATTTCAAATGAAATAAATTTAGCGCATGATGATATGCCTACGATTACAATTGAACCAAAAATAGAGCCTGAATCAAATGAAGTTCTTGATATAAAATCTCCACCTCAGTATGAAATCGCTACGAGTCAGCTGAAAAAACCTCAAAGTAAAAGTCATATTAAATCACAGATAGTTGATGATGTTCTCGAAATATTAATTAAAAATGGAGAACTTCCTCCAAGTGCTGCCCAGGACCCAGCTACTCCAACCACACCCGGAACTGCTGTTTTAAATAATGGCCTTGTTTACCAAAACTCGGCCTTATTCCTCCACCGCCTCCATTGCCCTACACTGCTTCAAATGCAAATATTTTAACACCTGACGTAACAAATCAAATGGACAATTGCACTCGTTTGCTGCAGGATATTGCTTCAGCGGAGCATTTGGATCATGATCAATTTGACCAAGATCAGAAAGTAGTTTCTGACTTGCTATTAGAACAACAAAACGAGGAGGGACATTTAGATTTAAAAGCATTAGGCTTAGATTTAGAAACATTTGATTGTTTGGACTTTGGTTCATTAGACTGTGATAAATTAGAATCGGAACTGGATATGGAAATTGGAATGGATGGAGTACAAAATCAGGACAATAGTAATATGGACTCATATGTGAATGAATTTGTTGAACAAAATGTAATCGAAAATAATACCAGCATGCAAGAAGAAAATGTAGGACCTCAATCTGTGGATATGTTACAAAATAATATTTCATTAACAAATCGATACAATCAAAGTTTATCGAACAATAATGTTTGTAATAATGGATTTGGTGCTGTTTTTCCTCCAGAGTTTATGGATATAGGAGATACGCCTATGGAGATGGATGAATGGCTTGACTCACTTATTCCTGTTTCTGAACTTCATGACAATAACACCATGTCAACTCCTCCACATCAATATTTTGTTACGCAGCAACATATGCCAATATCGATGGCTACTTCGCAAAATGCAGATTTATCTACTTATGATCCACTACTTGGTACAAACAGTGGAGCATTCGATCTGTTAGGTATTGAAGATCTGAAAATGCACAGTACGCCATTGTCATGGGATAAGGTAGATTTTGCTACATAGTTAGATCATTACTTAAATGGTAATTATAATACTATTATGCTAATATAAATCAACCCTCACGAAGTGCCTTGGGTTTTATATATGACGTTGGAATGAGATTAGAAACTAGTTTTAAGTTTATTTAAATTTGAAATATAATTTCAAGATAGCCAATCACCTTCGAACGATGTACTTAATAAATGATAATGAAGCTTCCATTATTTTAGCTCATAAGTTATAATAGTAAGTGTTACTGTGTGCAGCTCTTTAATTGAAAGTGATCTTTTAAGACTTATAATTAGGTTAGATATATAGAGAACAAGCGTTTTATTTTTGTTTGTGCATTGTGTGGTATAGAAATCTAATTTTTTTAACTAATAAATATTGAAAGAATATGTAGATGGAATCGTGTGTCGCTGCATTCCTATCTTCTGCTAAAACGACCAGGATATTATTAAAAGTCCCGATTTTTGTTTATGTAATATATGTGTATATTAAATTATTGAATTATAGTTGACTCAAGGTTAGCATTTGCCATTGCTAGTTGTATGTGACATTCCAAGAAAAAATATGGTTGTTTCTGTAGGCCAATATTAATTGTATATTGCAGAAAAGGCAAAAATAATGATATTATCTTACAGTAATGATGCCATAGACCATACGGTTCGGGACCAGCAAGGCGTTGTTAACACTTAGGGTCGGGATCAAATGTACTGAATCAATTAACATTTTTAACATGCGAATACGCGGTGCCTAATTTTAGTTATAATCTTAATTTAACGGGCTTGCCTTAAATATAAGATTTTCTTGATATAGTTTAAAAATCATATAAACTTTATATAGTTTATAAATAAAATTATATTTTAATAAATATTTATTTGACATAGCATATTTATTCTTTTTTGATAAAATCGATAATATGATATATCCATGGAAACAGAATGCAAATCCAAGCGATTAAATATCATTAGGCATTTATAAATTGCACAACTTATGTGGATAGTATACTAAATTGATGAATATTTTTATATATAACTGTATGTATTATGTAAAGCATCGATTACATCACTGATGATAGAAAAATATTTTTATTAGAGTAATAAAAATTGTAATAAAATTAAATGAATTCTAAATTAAATATGTAATTGCCATTATCTCAATAGAGCATAAATCCTGATGACTATTTCCATTTTGTGTATGGACGTTATAATAAAATTTAGAAATGTATAAATAAAAATGAAATAATACAAATTTTAATAATGTCTTATTAATTCAATTAATCGCATTTATAATTACCTCTATTTTTTATTATTTATTTATTTATTTATTTTATTTATTTATTTATTTCGGATATAATATAATGATCAATTCTTACTAATTTAGAAAATTTCACTGTTCACATTTCTTGAATTCAAAAATTTGTACCTATTTGTATTTTTTTATTAGGGGTTACTAAGACTTTGTAGAATAACTTCTACAAATTTAAGAAATACAATTCATAACACCATTAAAGTTGGTACTTGTTTTAAATTTTATCTTTCGTATTTTGAGTTATGTGGAAGATATATCAGCCTAATACTGCGCTACTTTATTGTTTCAGTCTCCGCTTTCTATCTTAAAAAGATGTAAATAATCTGGTTTAAAATTTCTGATCCATTTATTACTTTTGAGCTCTTGTACATACAAAATATTTTTTTTCAGATCCAAAATTCTATAGATTTTTTACATTTTGCTGGTTTTCCAATTTTTTGTTTCCAGAATGTTGGTCGTATAAATATTTAGTTGCAATGCTGAAATGGTAGACTTTTTTGTAATATTAGTTATACATTATTTTAACCAGTTAACCGTGGTGCGCTCATGGTACTGTGCGTACTGTTTTTTGTCCTCACAACCGAAGTAAAGTGCTGTTTTGAACTATTATTTTTTTAATCTGCATAACAATATTCTAAATATCTAGAACAAATTTTCAAATGTTTTGGTTTTTCTTTTCAAATTGCAATTTTAATATACAATGTTTGATTTCTATACATGACGAGAATACTCATCCATATACAAATCATCACTACCACTTCTCCATAACGAGTGTACTCGTCAATCATAGTTAACTGATGGTTAATAACGTTTTTTTTTAAATTCTTTTATATGTAAATACACTATCATAAGATGGTTGAAATGTATTGTATAAGCGTCTACCACTTTCTTTGACATAGGATTTACCGAAACTGCATATTAGAGTTAATTTGCAATATTTTATTACCATGATCATGGGACGTATACATACGTCCCCGTTTGTCTGGGACAGTCCCGGATTTTTACCTTGTGTCCCGGGTTGTCTAAAAGCAATATTTGTCCCAGATTTCTTTCTTTTATCCTGGATTGTCCCGAGTTTTTAAAAAATATAGGTTTGAACTAAATTTTTGCAATTACTTGATAACAAAATTACAAATATTCATCAAATATCTGAAATTGATGTAAACAACGAGTATGCTTATAGAAAATATATAAGAAATAGATTATGAATGAGAAACATTCCGGATGCAAAATACTAAAGTGCTAAAATAGCATTTCGCATTGATAATTTCGGACTTTCAATTTCAATTTTACGAAAATTAGTAACTTTCGTCCTTCCTTTTCAATTTTTCGAAAATTTGCTACCCTCGCCTGTCTCGGATTAGCACAACTACAAGTTGCCGCCCCGGTTTTGACCAAAAAAGAATATGGCCACCTTACTTAAGAGTCATCTATCGGTTTTACAGATAGCAATCCAAACTTGTCTCATCTCTGTGTGATAAATTTTAATATTTCATTTTCTGTAATATGGCGCATATTTTATTAATGCAGCATTGCCGGATGAGTACTATTTTCACTTGGAAACATATTGCTATCTAAATTTCCAAGTGAAAATGTCACTACTGCTTGACATCAGGCTCCTCGAAGCGGGATCGAACTCGGGACCTCTGATTGTGTTCCGGTCGCTCTAGCCACTTACCGACGAGTGGCAGGTTGGTCCTAATTTTCAATATAAAAAATGTCATGTTTACAACATATTTTGTTGTATTTTTTATATGACAAAAGATCATTAAGTCCTTTACGGGCGGATGTTTCTTTTACGTAATAGTCTTGTCTATTGCTTGTGTTTTGAGAATATAAATAGTTCAAATGGTACGTCATTAAATGACCACGCCGTGACGCTACAACTCATCTGCAAATTTAATTTATTTATATTAATCTGACTCATTCTAGTATTTTTAAGTTATTTGGCACCTTCGGATTATATGCTAGATTTTTGTAAAAATATTCTACGTTGTTCACAATAATATGAAGAAAGATAAAATTAGATTACGCGTAAAATTATTATTTTACGTGTACTTATTAGAAAAAAAACTTTAAAACACTTCAATAAACGTTGAAAAACGTTTAAACTACTTTAAACGTTTAGAATAATTAGAATTTTTTAAATATAAATTATTTGCATTGAAATTATATGATGTTTTAATATCACTACTATTTTATGTAAGTACAATTTCTGTAATAGGGCGCGTATTTTTATTGGTGCAGCAATGCCGAATGAAGGCTATTTTGACTTGGAAACATATTGCTATCTATATTTCTAAGTGAAAATTGTTGTCACTGCTGCCTGACAACAGGCTGCTCGAAACGGGTATCGAACCCACGGGCGAGCCCAATCAAAATTAAAACTAGTTGGTATTGGTATTTTTCCTTGAGGCAAGTTACAATAACTTCCCGATATGTGTAAATAATCGACTTAATCAAAAAATAAATAAATTTATGAGTGACCATGATATATATCGCCAATAAAAGTTCCATAAAAATCGGCTTAATTTTGTTTTTCAACAGTTAATTACAAGAAACCGGCTCGGTAGATTTTCACCTAAAACTAATCAGTATCATTACCAGCTAATATCTTTCGAACAGTTTTTAATTTTTTAAAATCGTTTTAGTAGTGTGAGCTTAAATGTAGACGAAAAGTTTTACACGTTATTCCAAATTTCAAAGAAACGGCTCGGCAGATCGTCGCACAAAACTGACAAACGATAATCCTCATCGAGATACATCAAATGGTTTTTAAATTTCTGAAATTGGTTCAGGCTCGTTTGAGCAAACGTCGATGAAAGGTCTAATTTTGACAAATGTCAAAAAAACAATACTAATTTTTGCAAACTTTGACGAATTTTCAAAATTAAATGACTTATCGTAGGGCCGTAATATTTTAGTATGACCTAGAAGACCATGATGTCTATCACAAAAAAATATCATAAAAATCGTCAAAAAAATTTTTTTTTACCACTTCATTACAAGAAAACGGCCCGGCAGTGCTGCCGGCAGATCTTTGCCAAAAACTAGTCAGGTCGATTCCCAACCAATATTTTTCGAACAAATTTTGAATTTTCAAAATCGATTCAGAATTGCGGGCTAAAACGTGAACAAAAATTTTTTCACTTTTCTGCTATTTACCAAGAAACGGTTAGGCCGATCGTCGCACAAAATTGACGAACCCTAGTCCTCATCGAGATACATAAAATGGCTTTTAAACTTTTGAAATCGGTGCAGCCGTTTTTGAGAAAACGACGATTTTCGGCAAAAAATCTGTTCACGCACACGCACACACATACTTTTTTCCAAGTCTCATTCGATTCAGAATGGCTTAAAACGTCGAGAAAATATAAAATTATCGAATCGGATTTCTTCTTCGGGAAATTAATAACATTCATTACTTATTGTTAGTTATTTTCAAATGTAAGTCGTAGATAAGGAAAAGGTAATAATAGATATTCATGACAATATTTATGTTAATAATGATTTTTGAAATGTTTAAATATTTGCATTTTCTATCTTTTCTACATATTTCATAAGATTATTATTTAGAAATCGGTATCTTGAACAAGTTATTTACAGGTAAAAATATAGCTCTAGTTCATAGTAAGCTTCCTCGTTAGATTAATTATTGAATATTATTTAGGTAAAAAAGCGTTATCTTTTTCAGCAACCATTTGTATCCTATTGCGTCAAGATGGCACCAGCGATTTGAACACAATGATATTGGTAAACTTTTGTGTATCAAATATTTAAAAATAATCATTAATTGTATAGCAATAGATTAGTAACCCAAAGTATATGGACTGAAATAAGTGCACCATAATAAACATCTAGAAGTAAGAGTCAAAAAACTTATCTGGCTGAGAATGCACGCTTGTAAACTATCTCTGGAGTCTACCAAATGATCCTTAGTTCAAATTGGAACTCATCTTTGGGACTGCTCCAGCAAATCAAACATCGTCATCAATCATCGCAGCCAGTATAAAATGCTTTGTATAATTACAGAGAAAATTTCTGGTTTCTTTCCAATCAAAGTTTACACAAACATTTAAATATTTTTCTAAGAGGTCATCAAAACTCGTGCCATCTCTCATCACACAACCTTAGTCAATCAGGCAGCTACTCCTAGCAAAAGGTTGAAAAGACCCTTGAACCTTACGTAATAATATAGTCTGTCGCTCTTTGGAACAAGTATTAGAAGTAATTACTTTTCAAATATATTGTGTTCCAATAACATTTAGAATACATTGTGATTGTTACTTATATAGTTAAAAAAAGTGCAAAATATTAATTGTCTTACTTCAACGATATGTGCACAACTTTTTGTTGTTTATCCTATAACTGCACTTAGTAAACTACTAAACTACTAATACTAAAAAATGTGTTTTTGTGTATCCCCTCTGAAAACCACTTACTGCTTAATTTTAGAAAACATAAATGACTTAGTGTATATATAAATATAAATGTATATATAAATCTGATATTTAAAATGAATGAAGCCATGCAAGATAACTTATATGGAAGCCGCTTGATAAAACGGGAAGGTGCATAGGTAAGTTACAAATAATTCCTATTTGATTTATATTTATGCTATTGTTGACATATAAATATT